TGGTAATGAACAGCACTAAACAATTTTGATTTAGCAGGAATCTAAAGAGAATTAAAGCCGTTCAAAAAGTAGCTTTTGGAGCATTATTTGTTAATATTTTTATGCAGTCAATTAAAAACTGCTGGTTTTTACTTCCTTTTTCTTGTTAGGTCTTAATTTTCATGATATCATTCCCAGTATCCATGTTACCCTTTGCAGTTTGTTCCGGAGGCTGAGCCATGGGGACGCTTGGAGCAGTTTGTATTTAAAAAGAAGCGAGTCAATCATCACATTACCGGGATAGAAAGACCACCCAGTCATGAATCTCTTACACAGGCAGTAACCAGGAAATACATTGTAGACACGTGTGCTTGCACTCAGTTGTGCACTTACCTCTTAACTCTTTCTTAAATATTTATAACTCCCTTCTCAGATATAAAGTATTGAACACTTAGTATTCAACCGAAATGGAGGATTCTGCAAAATAGCACAACTGCATCTAAAATGAATTCCTTTATTTTGTAGAGCTGCATGCGTGCTCGGTGTGAGGGATTGCTGTTGAGTCAACATCAAAATGAAAGCTTATATCAACTGTAGCCACATGCTTATCCAAGAGCAGCGTGTCCTGCAAGTCAATGACTTGATGCAATCAGCTGGTTTTCCTTATAGAGAGAAAGAGTTTTATCAATCTAAATCTGTAATCTGATTGAATTGGTTCTGTAAAGTGCCTTAAGGTGAAATGTGTTGTAAATATATATGAATATACTGAATTTTATTGATTAGAGTAGAATAAAAGTGTCTCCTAGAGTATTGTTCACATTTTGATAAATTAAAAAAGTTATTCTTAAAAAAAAAAAAAAAATCAGGAAAGTTAATAATATAATGTGTGCAGATAAACTGAAGACTTTCTTTTACATACTAATCATAGCTCTGTATTGCTAGATAGTTTTATTTCTAAAGAAAACTAGTTAAATTCTTTCTCTCTGTAGAAATTTGCTGAGCCTTTAACAATTTTGTTTTTTACATTTTATATGCCACACATAAACACAATAATACAATAAACACAAGAAAACACATAAATTCATGTTTTTTTTTACTAACATGTATATATATATATATATATATATATATATATATATATATATATATATATATATATATATATAGATATATATATGTATATATATGTAAATAAAATCAGTTGAACATAAAAAAAATAAAATATAACATATGTTGCACGCTTACATTTTTCTTATATTAAGTATTTATTGTTAGTTTTACAACCAAATTACTGTTTAAATATGACAGAACTGAACTTTTAGACTTTGTTATGTGTTTTGAAATTAGTCTAATTATGATCTCCATATAAAAAAGGCCTGGCTGGGCAGCAACATGAAAGATAAAGGAATACAGTTTTTAGGTCTGGCCAGTGTTTGATAGAAATGCAGTCTAGTAATGAACTCCAACAACTCAAGATAGCAGAACAAGCGAGAATTGCGGGCACTAATCAGTCTTTGAGGTTGTTGACTTCACACATGGTGCATCAGCACCACACGATCTGTGAGATTACATAAGACATCCAAACAGTCTATCGGTTTTGTCGCAGTGGATAACATCCAGAGAGAGGCAGAACAAGTAGCGTTGGTTTGGGTCAGATGCACTGAGATTTAGATGCTAATTATTCTGATTCCTCTTTTAGCATTGGGAGACCAATCAGAGATATACGTCTAATTCATAGCTGCATTGAATTATACGACTCATCAAGATGCATAGTAGTTTACTACATTTTACAGCAGATTTAGCCCCATTTAAAGTATGTACAGTAGTATTCATTGCCAGTGTTGTTTTGAAGAGCGATTGATTTTGTCATTGCTTTTAAAAGTTTTATTTGTGTGTGTGTAATGAAAAAGCTTTAGGCACACTTTGCCACCCTTCAACATAACAAATCTGCGCTTTTAGTAAAACTTTTATAAAACTTTTATAAGAAAAAAAAATTCAGTCATTTAGCTTACTGTTAATTGAAATGATCTGAAATGTAAGATCGAAACATAACATATGAATTGATAGACGTTCCATTAATCAGCACATTACACATTTTCACTTTGCTGACCCTGTTTTACAAAAACTATCTGTTTTTGTCAATTTGAAAATATGCTTCAGCTACTAATAATATAAAAAAATTACCAGAAACACAGTTATACATTGATACTTACAATATGATGTTATTTTATCCCATTCTCCCTATATTTGCTACATAAACAATGTCTTTATTGATTATTGTTTGTCTTTTTTGTTGGTTCTTTGTTATTTAGTTGGAAATGCAAAAAAGAAAAAAAAAAACACACACCTTCCAGATTATATGCTATAATATGCAGCTGCCTTTGATGTAATCAAAACAGACAGCTGATTGGGGTATTTTTTGTTGTTGTTGTTTGTTTGTTATTTTCATTAGTTGTTTTTTGTTTGTTTGTGCATGTCTGTGTGTTTGTAAAGCAGGTCCAGATGCAGGAAATGCGAAAAGAGTAAATTGACCAGTATTCATCTTAAATCAATATGAAGACCAATGAGTTCAACAACTCAGACACTGAAACCAAAGTTCTGTTTGTTTGATATTTTTGTTTGGGAAGCAAGTAAATATATGGTGTATAGACAAAAAGGAAAAAAATTGTGTAATTATTCAAGTTAAGCGTATCAAACGGCACAAAACTATGAAATAAATTCCACCTCTGTTCTTAGCCTGTGGCCACAAGCAGCACAGGCACCTGTGTGGATGAATCCTGATAGATCCCCATTACCCTGGGAGTGACCCTTCACTGCTCAGTTCATTTAGCTAGACACCCAAGTGTCTGCGACTAAAGTCCAGATTTAATCACAGTTGCCTTCCTCTTGCCAATCACAATTAGGTCCTGATAAGCCTCCCTGGAATGGCACCCAGGGGCCTCCACACACAGACAAAGGTTAATTTGTGAGCATCAAGGGCTCAGCTACAAGGTCAAAGGTCGCTTGATTGAATACATGGAAAAATGCATTTGGGCAAGATGGTGGGGCTTGGCAGCAATTACAAACTTCATCAGTATTCATGCGTTTCTCTTCATAGGTAATGGGTACATTACCTGGAAATAGGTGGACTGATTGTTGTTGAAGTATTATAAGAAGCAGCTTATAGGCTGTACTTAGGTGGCTGGAATTAGAAACCTTTTTTTTCCTAAGGGAAGCATCAAATGTGTTTTACAAGTCTGCAGTTTTCCTCTGTTAAGTCCTATGTTGACCTGTCCAAGTAGTTTGAATCTGTTACACTGTACAAAAAATGTTTATGACCTAATTTCTTTGTAGTTGTTTTAAATGTTTGATTTGGTTTTTAAAGTAGGATGTTATGCCCTTTGTGTTTTTAAAAAGGTTGACATTTGTTATCAAAAAAATACAATGAAAGTAGTTGCCTGGTGCCAAAGATCATTTACAGGTAACCAAGGCATGCATATATATATATATATATATATATATAATATATATATATATATATATATATATATATATATATATATATATATATATATATATATATATATATATATATATATAAATATATATCCATACACTTTTATTTTCATGTGACTTAGACAGATTAATTTTTTCATTTTGTATACACGAGTGTTTACAAAAAGAGATTTTGTTTAACAGCCTAGACAATTTCATTTTTTAAAGTGCAGCCTTGAAAAACAGTAATAAATACATAAAAAAATAAAATAGCAACATAAACAAATGACTGCATATTTACAGTTCTAACGTTTTATTTTTACTTAGTAAAATAAATTTGTCAGAATGTTCAATGACAACACTGCCTTTTTTAAATTAAAAATAATTTTCTGATGTTATTTATGATTAATAAACATAGAACGTAGAAAAGGGCTTTTGCCTTTAGAAATGAGACCATGATAAATTTTCTAAAGACTTTTGCTACTTTTAAAAATACTCATTTCTATTTAGGCACAAAAAATAAGGGGTGAAAAACATTAACTTTGTTTGACTGTGGACCTTGTGATTTCATGTATCATTCTGTCTTCTTTGATTCGGCTAAATCTCTCTAGAAATGTTCTCTGAACATTTGATCAAATTTAGCTTGAGTATTACATTAAATTTCCCCCTAATTAAGCTGTTTTTGTTTGAATTTTCAGCTTGGGTTATGTGCTAAACTCAAGCTTTCCTTGATTTTAGCTGTCTTGAAATAATCTGGTTTTATTCTTTCAGGTAAAACTACATTTCTCCCAAACTCTGCAGATTTTATGCAAAAACAGTCATATGCTGTATCGGAACCTTTTTCTTTCTTTTTTTTTCAGTTTTTCAGTGTTGTCCTACATTCTATGCAGTTCTAAGTGCTGTGTGCCAAAGTATTACATAATTTTTTTGTACTCTCACTAATTGATGCCTTTGTAGACAGCTGATTTTGATCCTGTGTAATTTCTCTGTTTTATGGAGCTTTGGCAAAAAAAGGCAAATTAGCGAAAGTCAAGGAAATATTGAAATGAAAACTGCTATTTTTGTGAAGTTTGTCACATTTATTAAAAGTGATGGCAGGTGTTGAAATCTAACCTATGGCATTGATATCTCTCAGTATGAGTTTATTGGTTTTCAGGTTTATGCAACCAAGTTATTGCTGAGGTTTTATTTTTACATGTTTGACATTCCTCTTATGGATTAGTCTGTGTTTCAGTTAATAATAGTATTACATGTTTGACTAAAATGTGTATTTTTTTGCATATTTGTTGCATTACAAAAATCTTGTATTTTAACAGGGCTGTGTAGAGTTTCAGAATCCACAGCAATAATACTGTTTAGCACTCTATGAAGCTATCACATTTTCTGCCCGATTGAGCTGCTGTAGATTCGGACATCAATACCAGGGCTTCCTGGATGCACATGGATCAGAGTTTTTGATTTTACAGAGTAGAAAGACTAGTTTATCTGCTCTTGTTTATGATTGCATCTCTCTGACCTCCCATGCTGTGCTGCAATGTCATTTACAGGCCAGCTGGCAGCGGGGACATGTGAGATTGTGACGTTGGACAGGGACAGCAGCCAACCACGACGGACCATCGCCAGGCAGACGGCCCGCTGCGCCTGTAAGAAGGGCCAGATCGCCGGAACTACAAGAGCCAGACCCGCGTGTGTGGACGGTAGGAGCGAGGGGGTGGAGAGGGGAGATCCTGGCTTTGCTTGCTTTGTTTTAAGGGCCCACTTAGTGTTTGAGTAGTTCCATCCAGCGTGTAGTTTCACTTCAGTGAAAATTACTCAAACATGAGCATGCTGCTCCCAAGGCATGTTTGACTGGAGTAGAGAAACATGTTGGCTTTGAAGCACATTGAGATTACATGTAAAAAGAAGCAGTATCCAAATGTTTAACTGTGCAAACAGTTTTAACTCAGCTGCTTAAGGTTTGATCCATTTTTTTCCCTTTTCTACTGAAGGTTTAGTTTGATAAACCTACAAGGATATAAAGCAAAGTGGCTCAATAGGAGTTCCTTTATGTTACTAAGACCTGCACCAAATCTATTTACAGTTGAGTCACTTTCTAAAGCTGCTTCAGGGGAGTTTTAAAATCCCACCCTAACAGATGGGCTTATTTTTTCCCCCTGAATAGTAACACCATTACTGTAATAGAATGTTTCAGCACAGATGGATTTTTTTCTTCATCCTTGTTGTGTCTGTCATTCCTGTTTTAACTATTTAATTGGGTAGCCAGAATTAATCTTAACTAGACAACCAGGTAATTTTAATCTTTCTGCTACAAAAAGCTTTTTTCAATGTCCCTGTTTGTGTGATCAGTTGTTAGCTACATTTGCAACAATATAAAGATGTTGATGTTGGAGTCCAACCTGGACAAATGATGTGATAAGAATTTTATACCATGGATTCTTTGGAACTGCAGTTGGCATTCGAATTTATGTACTTTAAATGCTTCGGACCAAATACATAAAATAAAAAGGGAATAAGAAATGAATGTCCAGGCGTTCACAGGCATTTTTTGTAGACCCATATTTCTATAGGTGTGAAACTTTAATAAGTACATTGCTTATCTACCAATAAAACACTGTCTAATGCCTTCCGTATTTGGTAAAGCATTGAATTGAATTATGTTTTCATAACCGTTACCTAAACTAAAACTAGTGTTGCACTGATACCAGTATCGGGCAGGGCTCCAATACTGCACTAAATATGTGGTATTGGTATCGGCGAGTACCGAAAAGTAGGGCACCGATACCATTTTGAGAGCCAAAAGTTGATTCAACTATTGTCACCTATTCCAGGTAGGCAATAAAAAGTTCTACTAATATTAGTATTTTTCCTGCTTCACAAAGGTAGGCAGCAGCTTGACAAAGCCATGATGGCAATAATTTTACATCCAAGTAGTATGCAGTTCTTTATATATATATATACACACAAATCAATTTAAAACAGATGGTATCTGTATTGTATCGGTACCGGCGGGTAGCCTGGGTGCCATTCCGAACTTAGTCCCGCCCACAACGTTTGAGGTCGGGAAGTTTGGTCTGGCATTGCTCAACAGTAGCGCGAGTATGCTAGCACAATATCTGGCAGGCCAATCAAATTGTCAGGGCGGGCTTTATACGATGATGGACAGATGATCAACAGTAACGTAATCAACCACGTGACCAAAGCGCGCTTGGGTGACAACAACAATGGCTGCCGCCGGAGAGTTGAGGTGTGTAGATTCTGCTATTAGGTCTGTTCTAGAAGATATCAACAGCAAATTAATTTGAAAAGAGGAACAGAGAAACGCGATCAAGGCTCATCTTCTTATTCTAGGCGTGCAACTGCACGCTTTGATTTTTGTTGACAACAACTATGCATCGCTTAACATACGTCACGCACTCCGTTGCTCTTATTGGTTGTAGGTCTGTCCAATTGAGTGCAGAGGCATTTTTTTTCCTGGTTCGTTCGAAACTTGCCCCATAATCACAGCTCTATGGAGCAGTATCAGACTCATATTCTGACTAGAATTGAGTAGGACTACGTCAGGCTAACCGGCGGGTACTGCACAACCAGGTATCGGGTAATGTTGTCGGGGGGTGGGGGGCATCTATTATTTCCGTTTTCTCCACAACTCCACATTGGAAAAAAAAAAAAAGAAAAAATAAGTTGCTATTCAAGTAAGTCTAATGTACATTTATGTTCATAGTACTGAAACAAATGCAGTTGTTTTTTGATTTCAAAAATGCTTTTTTTTTTAGCATTATTGAAATCGTAAAGAAATATAGAAGGAAAAAAAAAATCATAGTCATGATCTTTGCATAAATTTATATGGAGAGTTTTAAATAGTATTGGCCCTCTTTTAGCTTGTTATCACAATTATAAGTTTTAGCTCCTCCAATGAGTTTTAATTTTAGAAAAAGGCCATTCGATTAATACTGAAAACCATTTCCAAAAAGATTTCATCCAATAAGGGGAAGCAGAGATACAGCTGCTTTTTGTATGTCTGCTTCTGTCTCCTTGAACCCCAGTCGGCCTCGGCAGATGGCCGCTCACACTGAGCCTGGTTCTGCTGGATGTTTCTTCCTGTTAAAAAGGGAGTTTTTCCTCTCCACTGTTGCTGCAAGCATGCTCAGTGTGAGGGATTGCATTCGAGTCAATGATTCAATGCAATCAACAGGTTTTTCTTAGATAGATAACTTTGAATCAATTTGACTGTATGATCTGGTGAACTGTAAAGTGGCTTCAGATGATATGTGTTGTGAATTGGTGCAATAGAAATAAACTCAATTGAATTGAATTGAAAAATCCGGCCAAACCAGCCTGACTCTATATTGTATTCCTAAAGCTAATACCTGTCTTAGTCATCGTAGATTATTGGTCTCAATAACATTGTTTTCATAATGTGCTGCTTTTTAAAATCATTATTTCTTCCTGCTGCGTGTTATCAGACAGGTTGTGAGACTGAACTTTCAATTACAAACGAAAAACATGACAAATCACAGTTAATTTAAGATTCAACAATAGGAAAGATCACTTGGTTGATTTGGTTGAGGAAAGAGGGCTTGGTTGATTTTAATTGCTATTGATTAACTCTTGATACGTCATCTTGCCTTATCATAGAAATTTAAAAAAGAAAAACTTTAAAAAAGAAAAATCAGAAAAACAACCTTAACCAGACTGCACGACATCTTCACTACAGTCCGACTGGTTCCAGAATAATCTGTCACTTTCTCAAGATGTGGCCTCTACCCAGGGTAAGAGGGGATGTCATATGCTCAGGTGAGGGTAGAGTAGATGCCTCTATTACCAAGATAGACCACCAATGAGCAGCAGCTTTAGATTTCTGCTCTCTGCTTTTATTCAACTGTGCTTGTCAGTTGTGACTCTGATTGGAACAGTTTTTGTCCGTGAATTTGTCTTTTCACTAATCTGAATACATTCAAATGACCATGTAATAATTTTCACCATCTGCACCTGCTAGTGTTTTTTTAATGGCATTCACCTCTTTTCTGTTAATCCCTGTTGTGTTTAAGTCAGTATTTTGTTCCCTGGCCGTCTGGTCCTATATTCATATTTCCCTGCTGTAACTCTAGTTTCCTCAGTGTCTTTTAAACTGATCTTTTTTTCATTAAAATCCTTTCAACATGTGTCTGCCAGTGTCGTGGTGCTACTTCAGTCCTTTCTCACCATCAGCCCTGATACTACAGTATCTTGTTCATATCAAAGTACTAACATGTATTCTTTACCATTTCGGTATGATAATGCTTTAATCAATGATTACAGCATATATGAGGTATCCCTAGGTGAAAGAAACAAATGGCTGCAGCTAAGAACTTTCCCATGGATTGGTTGAAAGGTAAAAAACATGATCTTGAGGATTTTTAAAGTGATTTGTTCTGACTAAGAAGTGGTTTCCTGACAGAGGTCATTGTTGCAGGTTATATTACTGTAGAGCGGCATTGCTAATTGCAGGTTATAAATCAATGCTTTGTACTGGAGAATATTCAACAAATAATCTCATTGTGAATACTGTAGTTATTTGAATATAATTTATTTCAGTAGGAGGCATTTCTGTGTGTTATATTCTGTATGCAAAATGTTTACTTGCAGCGTAGGAGATGCAGAATCCAATTTGAGTTTGTTCCGATTTCATTCTGAGAGCAGTAATTGGACATTTAAATTGAGTTTTGTTTTTTTTGTTTTCACAGTTTTGAGTTGATTTGAAAGTTTAGCAGTTTTAATACTAGAACATTTCCAAACAACACAATAAGAAAAAAATCCCCAAAAGTAACAAATCATATTAGTTTAAAATGTCTGTCACTGGAAATTCTAAATCCAATTTTGCAAAGTTGTGTAACAGCAGAATTTGTTTGATGAAATATGATTTTAAATAATAATTATTCTGATAAATCATATTTAGCTACTTTAATCCTCCCATTAAAGAACCTCCTAGGATCACACAAAACTCTAAATGAAAGTTACTGAAAAGTAGCAACGAGGTGATGCCATTGACATCACCTGATAATCAGCAAGGAGTTTGGGCAGTTTGGCTGGTCTCATCCATGCAGATGTTTGCTAAAAAGGTAGCTCGATATCGATACACATTAAATATTTAATATTCAGCATAATTTATTGGAAATATTATGGACATATGGGATATTGGATAAAACAGACAAATCATTAAAGGCATTAAAACTATGTCGTATTAAATTGAAAAACTCAGAATCACAGATGGTACTTAAATAGGTGTGTAAATAAATGCAGAATAAGCAGCCTAATATAACACATTTTGACAGTACAGGTGCTGGTCATAAAATTAGAATATCATGAAAAAGTAGATTGATTTCAGTAATTCCATTTAAAAAGTGAAACTTGTATATTATATTCATACATTACATACAAACTCATATATTTCAGATGTTTATTTTGTTTAATTTTGATGATTACAAATGACAACAAATGAAAATCTCAAATTCATCATATCAGAAAATTAGAATATTACTGAAGACCAATAAAAACAAAGGATTTATAGAAATGTTGGCCAACTGAAAAGTATGAACATGAAAAGTATGAGCATGTACAGCACTCAGTATTTAGTTGGGCCTCCTTTGGCCTGTATTACTGCAGCAATGCGGCGTGGCATGGAGTCGATCAGTCTGTGGCACTGCTCAGGTGTTATGAT